TCCTGGGAGCTGGGCCTCTGTCTCTCCTGGGCTCTAACCCTAACCCTAGGCCAAAGCAGCATGGAGGAAGAAGTTGCCTGACAGACCTGGAGGGAGAGGGTGAAGAGAGGAGACTGAGACAAGGAACTGTGGGGGCAAGAAAGTGGGACTGGAAGTTGGTGGAAGGAGAAGAAAACTAGTACAGAGAGCCAAGGCAGACTGGGCTTCTCTGGGAAAGGAGACTAGGACTGGAAGCCGGGGAAGGAAATGGTGAGGGGATTGTGACCCAGTGGGTGGAGGAGAGACAGATTGGATGAGGAGCCAAGGGGAAAATTGGAACTTGCTGAGCAAGGAGACTGGGACTGAGACCGACTGGGGGAACAAGAAGGGGAGGGGGGAGTTCAGAAAGGTCTGACAAGGAGCTGGGGTATGGGGAGAGAACTGGGACTAGCTGGGCAGAGACTGGGATAAGGAACCAAAGGAGGATAGGGGGAACGAGACTGTGATTGGATGAAGACTCTGGGAGGAAGATTGGGACTGGGAGCCAGTAGGGACTGGGAATGTTGGAAAGTCGGGAAATGCCAGAATTAAGGCTGCCTGTGCAACCTTAATTCATCCGTCTTGTGCATCTGCATTATGACACAGCAGCGATACTCAGACTGAGGCTCTCAAGCCGAAAGTGGCTCTTTAATGTGTCTCCTGCGGCTCTTTGCAGCACATGCTATTAAAACACGGAGTGATTTCATTATTAACAGTCAGGATGCTTGTACTATGTTATTCACCCATTATAGTTGATAAAATAATACTTGGTCAATCATTTTGCTGTGAGGGTGTGTATATATGGATACACAAGCATAAACAAGTTCCGAGGGTTGGAATTTTCTGACAAGATTACAACTGAAAAAGCAGGTGACAGGAAGATTAATTTAAATCTTAATTCTAATGAGCACTGCCATGCCCACCATAGAGTATATGCAGGCGATACACAGAAAGACAGAGATTTTAAAACTCCAAGATCATTCTTGAAAACTCAGAATGTTTTTTATCAAGTTGTAGTGGATGACTATTTGACTGTAACTCAAAGCAGTCTCAGTGAATAAAAGACAGAAATAGAATTCATGGGAACCTTAGATGATAACACATCACTAGCTTCATTGTATGTGATGTTTCTTGTTTCATGTGACTACAGAAGACCAAAAGTCCAGAAAACAGAGTCTGCCATCATACAAAAGGCACCCCTGTATAGAGAATGTACAAAATGTTCTTAGATCAAACTAAAAAAAAAAGGCCAGAAAAAGCTAGTTGAATGCTCCCACAGCCTTACTCTTCACCTCTTATATTGTTACATGCTCTGATATCATGCTGTGTTTCCATGGAGAAGTTTTTGGTGTCATGAAAAGGGTCTTAGAAGTCAGAACATTGTGACACTGAGAGAGAGTGTCTGTGTATTTTCAAACATTATGGAAATTATAAGTACACGCTCCAAAACTGTCAAAAATATATACTTTCAAAAGGCGAATGCTTATGTGGGATTAACTCCTCATGTTACACATGTTCTCTGGAGTGTGTCATTTCCCCCACCCATCTCCCGAGCCCAATCCCGCAAACAGAATCTGACGCTCTGCACCAGATGCTAAATGAAGCTATTTCCAAATCTAGGTGTCTGTTTTGTGCTAAATGTGATCTTTCCAGATCCAGTTGTCTCCCCAATGTGTTGTCTGGATGGTTTGAAACCGCTCACCTAGTTAGTTGGACCAAAACGGACCCTAATGTGAGTCTCAGTGATGTTTAACTCAGAGTAGGTTTCTTTTCCATGATCACCTTCCCCAAATGAAATGTCAGCTTCCTCATATTACATGCAATACCTCAGTGAACTGGGCTGTTCAGCCAGTGGGGATGCACATATGGAGTATATTTCTAGGAAATGTTATGCAAACGAGTTCGGAGAAAAAAAGGAACCATAGGAAATTTATGTCAATATTATTCCTGTTTAGAGATAAAATCCATTCCATATGTTGCCTCTCTCAAGCTTTTTTGGAGGGGGCGTTAATATTTTAACCATAGCAGCTGTTCCTTCTATAACTAATTGGCTCCACACATTAGTAACTAACACTAAACATTTGATCTCCTTCACTTCCCAGAGTCTTCATTGTAATGTTCAAAAGACATGGTTTACCTGGATTTGAAAAAACAAAAAAGAAGTCCCCATTGCAATCAGTCACAGCACTAATCAGTTCAGAACATGGATGGCAGATGAGCGTTACCATAACCAGCTGTGTCTGACCTGTGGCATAGGAAAAAGTTTGTACTCTAGTTCTACACTTCTTTGTTTCAGATGAAGCAGAATGACCATATGGAGAAGAAAAATACAGAAGTGCCTAAGTACTTAGGAGCCCCTTGAAAGTCAATGAGATTTAGGCTCCTAGGTGACTAAATTACTTTTGAAAATGGGACTTAGTCTCTTAAATCACAGGTACTTTTGAGAAGTTTATCCCACTATTGGATTACATTCTTACACCTGTACCTGCACAATCCCTTGTCTCTATCTAGCTTTCATTCCCTCTTCCAGAAATTCTTCCCTGGCTTGATATAGCTCCCCTGGAAACCAATAGGGGAAAAAAGAAAACACCATGGTATTTTCAGTGATACAGGCTCTCTTTGGAATGATGCTCTAAGATTTCACCAATGTTATAAAGTTACTGAGCCATATTCAAGGACATTATCTCTAAAGCTGACAGCCCAAAATTGTTGTCAAAAATTGCTTTCATTTTTAAAAATAAATTTTAATCAAATTTGTTTTGAAAAGGAATCAAGGAAATGATGAACCCTGTCCACAGAACTTTACCTGGATGGATGTGAAATGTGCCAACCCATGTGGGCATCAGCTAGATGTGAGGGGTTGGTATCAAAAGGTGAAGAAACAGGAACAGGGGTGATGAAACAAGAACAGGTTCAAAATGAGGGATCCAGAAGGGGACACTGCAGAGAATCCCATACTGCTGCCACTGGAGTCAAACCAGTGTGAGATTAATTGTGAACTTTCTTGAATAGGCAAACTGATTGTTTCATATCATAACTGGCTAGGAAGTGAAATGGTTTTCCCCTGAAATGTTTTTACCTGGGTTTTAATCAAAACCCAAAGACCTGGAAATTTAAAAAAAAATTGAAATTTCAGTTTTTGTGAACCAAATATTTAAGCCAGTTTGGCAAATACTGATGGAAAACCCTGAAAAATGTCATTTAAAAACAGACATTCCCCCATGGACGTTTCAGTTTTGGCTTTAAAAAATAGCCATTTTCAGTCAAACAGAAGTTCATGTGCTCTGTACTTTCTGCTTCTAATGAGCATCAAAAGTGAAAGTGCCAAGATAACCCAAGAATGCCTGTTGCTATGGTGTTTGTGGGCTGCAGGGCCGGTGCAAGGAAGTTTCGCGCCCTAGGCGAAACATCCATCTTGTGCGCCCCCCGCTGCTCCGCACCCCCTGTCCACCCTGAGCACCCCCCCCCCACAGCAGCTCCCCACCCCAGGTCAGCTCTGCTCCGCCTCCTCCCCGAGCACACCGCCCCCGCTCTAATTCTCCTCTCCTCCCAGGCTTGCGGTGCCAAACAGCTGATTGACGCTGCAAGTGGAGCGGCGACCGTGCGTTTGGGGAGGGGGCGTAGGAACGCTGTAAAAAAAATTGGGGCACCGCTTTTTGGCGCCCCCAAATCTTGGCGCCCTAGGCAACCGCCTAGTTTGCCTAAATGGTAGCACCGGCCCTGGTGGGCTGACCAAAAAACATGAGTAGCAAATATAGTTTTGTACATTTATTTATAGATGTTAAGGTCAGAAGGAACCATTACGATTAACTGGTCTGACCAAGAAAGACTACCCAAGGAAGATTTCCATCCTGAAGATTCAAGAAGTGCAGATACATTTTTTGATAAGTTTCCAAACTTTTGAACTTAAACTCTGTGGGCCAAATTTTGAGCTAGTTTAAATAGCCACTGCAGTCAATCTGAAATCAGTAGAGCTAGGTCAATTATGTCAGCTGAGAATCTGGCCCTATTTTTTTTTAAGCTTCTTACATTGTGAATACCTTAGCATCTCTGAAACTTTCGCTCTGGTGCTGTCCCTATGGTACATGATGTCAAAGGGTAGCTAGAAAACTTATTATCTTTATTTCATGGACTACTTTACTGACCAGTGATTCCAGTTATCAGCAGGCTGTAATAGCGCTGCCACGCAGGCAAAGATCACTTTAGTTCAGTCAAAGTCACAGTCCACCACAGAAGACTGCAAAGTTTGGGTAAGAACAGAAGTGTAGGTAATGTGGTTTAGTAGTTAGGGCACTAGACTAGGAGTTAGGAAACCTAGGTTCTAGACTTGGCTCTGATATTGACCTGCTTTGTGGCTATAGACAAGTCACTTCTTTTCATAGAGGTCAGTATCTTTATCCCTATTTTATAGACGGGAAACTGAGGCAGAGAGTGACTGGCCCATAAGGTATTTGGAATAATGGTCTCTTACAATATGTTTAGAGCAGCTAGCACAGACACATCCCTGGTCTCAACTGGGGCTTAAATGCCACTGTAAATAATAATAATAATAAATAGAAGAAGGGAAGGTACAAAATATTCTACGCCCACCGTCTATTGCACCCAACCTGGTTCTGCAGGAAATTATCCATATTAAATACGGCTTTGCCTATGCACATCTGGCATAGTCTGCCTACAGATTATTGTTATTCTAGTCTTTTGTATTGTCTTATGGAGCCAATGTCACTATTACTACACTACTTTAAAATGTATGGGGGCTGTTCCTATGCAGGTGAAACTCAGGTGGGGGACATTTGTTTCAGCTTTTGGGGTTTTCTTTTAAACTTGTTGCTAGCTGCACTTAATTGCCTACTGTAGTGTCAAAATATTTTAATCATCCGCTTCAAATTTAAATTAAATAATCAAGAAAACAATCCCAGCTTCCCATTTCAGGTAATTTTTGACTTAGCCAATAATGGCGGGGTTTTATTTTTCTACTTCAGCAATACATTTGGAGAAGCAATGCAGTGCGATCAGATTGTTTGTAAGTGGCAGAGAGTGGGGCTTCATTTGAAGATGGGCGGAGGTAAGTGCCTTGTACAAAATTCTACCCCAGCAATATTGGATTAATTATCTTTGAATGTTTAGCAAATTGGTTCATTAGAGAATAAATGCCTGCTGTTTGCACCTGTCTCCAATTTAGTTTTGATGTGACAGCTGTGGAGAAGAAAAGCTGGAGCACTTCTAGAGAGGACTGGGCTGGCTTTGAGGTTGGTTAGACTGCTGTTTTTCTGTCTGAGTTCCCTGATATGTCTTCCCCCATTTAAACAAAAAATAGATGTGTGTTAATAATAGCCACATGGATTCTACAAAGGTCATACAAAGGGAAGGGAGAATAAAGGGGAAAGTGTGTAAGGAATGATGAGCAGAGAAAGGGAGATTGAGTGGGCAGGAAGAGGGAAGAACAGAGAAGTAGAGATGTGTGTGTGTGTGTGTGTGACCAAGGTGGTGGGTATGGATGACTTTAAGGCAGGATGCTTGGGATCTAGGCCTGATGGTGTGAGGGGTGGCCCCAAACCTTAGGTGAATCTGTGAAGCCAAGACTGTCCAAAGGGGCTCGATGAGCAAAATTGTTCATGGTGATGTAAGAAGGATGATGAGGGAGCAGCAGTAATGTCAGAGGGGACGTGGGGAATGAAAGCCTAGTTCTTTGTTTGCTGGGAGGGGTAATCAAAATGTTAGCGGCTGTGAGCCTTACTTAGACTTCTTAGGACAGGGAGGTGACTGGAGAAGGGATGGAGGCAGGAAGAGGGGAGAGGAAAAAACGTCTGGAAGGGGGAGGGGCACTGTTTTATGTCCTAGAACGCAGAAAATGTGGAGCCTTGATTCAACAAGGTATCTAATAACATGTGACCCTGTAAGCACCTGCCTTGTCACACTTGTCACAGAGAGGAGGTATGATCTAGAGGGTAAAGCAGGGGACCCCAGATTATTTCCCCAGCTCTGCCACTGACTAGCTGTTTGATCTCAGGCAGAGGACTTCACCGCCTCCTGCCTCAGTTTCTCCATTTGTAAAAGAGGGATTTTTTTCCTTATCACTCCCTTCCTGAGGCTTAATTGAGTAGTGATGTTTATAAAGCTCTTTGACACCCTTAGAATGGAATGGAAGCCACTGTGGAAGTATAACTTTATTACTTTATATTTATTAAAGGTTAAGGCCCACTCTGCAGAGGTTAAAAAAAGCAGTGTGAGCATCACACAAGCTGAGGAAAACATTCATTTTAGCCCATCCTCTTCCTTCCAATGGTTGGACAATAGCTGTAGGTTGAGGGGTTTTTTTAGAGCACCCTAATATGGGCTAACTTTTGTTCAGCCTCAACTTCCAGCCACTAGCTCTTGTTAACACTGCAACAAAGAGATAACAGACTGAGATTTTTTTTCAGTCACTTTCTAAATTCATTTGGAGGGGAGGAAATACTGCTAGAAAAAGAGGAGTTTGTGTATATTGCAGAACTGAGTTTCTGCCTGGAAGGTGTGTGTGTGTGTGGGGGGGGGGGAAATGTCTTGTGTTCCTTAACTTCCTTCTCCATGTGTCTATCCCTGCAGGTTTAGTGAGACTGCTAGTCTAAACCATGTGGCTGTTCTTAAAGCTGTCACTAGAGCTGGTTGAAATAATTCTCTCTCTCACACACAGGTATTTTTTTTTTGTCAAGAATGACACCTTTTTAGAAAATGAAACATGCTAGGAAAAATTGTCAAGGTGATCAATATATTCCATTTTGTGTGTGTGACGACGTCTACATTTGTAATTGGAATCTTTATCAAAAACCGTTTCAAAATCATCATAGAATGTTTTTGATTAGCAAAAGCCTCTTGTGTTTTTTTTTTCTTCAGTAAGAAAATATGGCACCTGGTAAATGAAAAATTGAGGAAATTTTGATTAAAATATTGCAAAAAACTTAGCAAAAATACCAAACATGAATCCATTTTGACCCCTGCAAAATGGAAGCACTTTAAATTTTCAAAGTTTTTCCCTTCTTTCTACCAGCTCTACCTGCCATCTATTTAAAGCCCTGACCCCAAAGTGCCTGAATTATTCTTTCTTTAACTTGACACTTTGTTTTCACCGTCGGAATGTTTCCAGTTTCATCTGTGTTTGCTGATATATATATTTTGCCTCCTTCCAAATGGTTCCCTATGCGTGGTACAGCCCACCTCAACTCATCTGTAGGGCTTTTATCCTCTCTACAGTTAAGTCCCTTCTCCAAATCTCTTATTGTTCTGCTTCCCCTGTCTGTCCTAGGATTGTGTGCTAATTGGGACAGGGACTGTGCCGCCTTCATGTAAAGTACTTAGCCCAATGTCGGCATTGCATAGACTAATACTGCTCAATACCTTGGACAAGAGATCTTCTAACACAGAGGTCGACAACCTTTCCGCAGTGGTGTGCCGAGTCTTCATTTACTCACTCTAATTGAAGGTTTCGCGTGCCAGTCATACATTTTAACGTTTTTAGAAGGTCTCTTTCTAAAGTCTATAATATAGAACTAAACTATTGTATGTAAAGTAAATAAGGTTTTTAAAAGGGGATGGTATAATGGGCTAGCCTAATTTTGGCAATTAATTGATCTTTGACTATTAGCAGTAAATATGCCCAATGGCCTGTGATGGGATGTTAGCTGCGGTGGGATCTGAGTTACTACAGAGAATTCTTTCCTGGGTGCTGGCTGGTGAGTCTTGCCCACATGCTCAAGGTTTCGCTGATCGCCATATTTGGGGTTGGGAAGGAATTTTCCTCCAGGGCAGATTGGCAGAGGCCCTGGGGTTTTTTTGCCTTCCTCTGCAGTGTGGGGCACGGGTCACTTGCTAGAAAATTCTTTGCACCTTGAAGTCTTTAAACCATGATTTGAGGACTTCAATGGCTCAGACATAGGTTAGGGTGTTGTTACAGGAGTGGGTGGGTGAGATTCTGTGGCCTGTGTTGTGCTGGAGGTCAGACTAGATGATCATAATGGTCCCGTCTGACCTTGAAGTCTATGATTCTATGCAGAGCCCCCCGGACTGGTGGCCAGGACCCGGGCAGTGTGGGTGCCACTGAAAATCAGCTTGCGTTCTGCCTTCGGCGCGCGTGCCTACCCCTGTTCTAACATATCTGCACCAAACTGGCTTCTAAAGATTGCCATGACTCTTATTTTATCTCTGTCTTTGCCAGTGTTTCTAAGGCATTCATGAAACTAAATGGGGCGCTGCCCAGTGGCTGATTTTAACCCTACTATTTCCTTTCATTCTTGTCATTGCTGTATGTTCTCTTTGGATTAAAAGGGAACTGGTTTTACACATATTCTGGAAGTGTTCATCCTTCAATGGATACGGGGTAGGGGAAAAACCAAAGTCAGAGACTTTACAACACGACCAACTAATGTGATTGTAAAAGTGCTCAACTGTCTATGCTAGGTATTTTGTATCATGTTAGCTACATTTAATTACCTAACTACATTTTTAAAAGCATCTTTTACTTGATCTAGACAGACCAAAGGGCCTTGATTCTCCACTCTGTCCAAGTGTACAGAGCCAACTGTAGCTCCCTGATACTTTGCCTCCCAGCCCTGATGGTCCCTGGCTGCTCAAACTTCCTACTTTAACTTCTGCCTTTGCTGTAAAATCTATAAAAGAGCGCCTACTAGTGGAGAATCAGGGATAGTACAGGTCCCCCCCCTTACATGGGGGAAACTTCAGCTGGAAATCTCCATATAGTTTGTCACTTTATGCTGCAGCAGATCAGCGAATCTAGCCCATGCAGACTAGAATAAGCAGGTCAAGAGGGGCAGAGTTGTGAAGGGTCTTGAAGGTGAGCACAAGAACTTTGAACTTATTTCCTGCAAATAGCTGTTCCGGGTCTAATGCTCAACAAATGTGAATGAGCGTTATCCAATTGTGCTTTGATATTGTCATGACTTGATAGAGAAATCAACCAGAACACTTATATCCTGGCAAGATCTCTGTGACTTTGGATGTGGTTCCATTAGAAAAGGTTTCCTATCATTGTCAAGGTAAGATGGTTGATTTTTTTTTTTCCTCATTTGGCTTCCCTCGCTTCACCTTTGCATGTAGAAAAAGACGATGCCGTGATTTTTCTGTGTGGTTTTCCATTGAATAACTAGGGTGCCTTAAACCATTTAAAAAAAAAATATGGGGTGGCAGCTGCCAACCTAAGATGCACTGACAAGCCAAATATCGTAGAGATTGCTGACTTTCTGCTGGCATGTTCTCTTATTTATGTAGAAGTCTATTTAGGTCCCAACCTTTAAAAGACAAACCATTTGAAACATTCAGTAGATGTTGCACAGCTCAATTGCTAGATTGCACGCTCTTTATGACAAGGATGCTGGATATTTCACTACACTGCAAATCCAAATAGACATGGTTGATTCCATTACATACACTTTGCATTATCAAGGCTTTCTTCACAACTATCACAGCTAGAGACTTAGGGTGAGATCCTGGCCCCACTGAAATCCAAGGCAAAACTCCTATTGTCTTTGCTGAGGTTGGGATTCACCTTTTTTTTTCAATGAAAGCTGAGACTCTAGAAAACAGAGGTGGCGTCATAACATACCACTGCATGTTGAACCTTGGCCTTAACACAATGTCCTTCTCCAGAAAATCTGCCAACAGAAATTGTTTGTAGAGTGAGAAATTAGCATCCTCTTCCTGCGCTTCCCCATTTTCACCTCCGAGCAAAGCATACATGAGCTCATTTGGGAAGAGGAACAAGAGCTACTGGGGGATGGAGCTGGCCAGAGGATGACAACTCTGTTTCATGGCATCTTTTGAGGTTTTGGAATTTTTCTGTTCTGCCTTGGAATGGAAACAAAACCATTCGAACCTTTCAGCGAAAATGGAATTGTCAAAATGTCTGGTTTTCTGGATCAAAACCTGAGCTTTTCAAGTTGAGAATGCATGTCTATAGCCACGAGGCTAGGGACGTGGTCTGTGATTTGGGAGATCTAGGTTAAAGAGCAGAGGATGTTGTGCGCTTTTTTTTTTCTTCACTCTGAATCCGGCATAAACGTGGATGTTAGGAATCATTAAAAAGGGGATAGAGAATAAGACGGAGAATATATTATTGCCCTTATATAAATCGATGGTACACCCACATCTTGAATACTGCATACAGATGTGGTCTCCTCATATAGAAAAAAAAGATACTGGCACTAGAAAAGGTTCAGAGAAGGGCAACTAAAATGATTAGGGGTTTGGAATGGGTCCC